GGGGGGGGGGGGGAGACCGCAGACGTTCGCAACGATGTTCGCCACCGCGAGGATGTGGACGCCGCTCTTCGCGCCGAGCGCCCGCCCGACAACATGCCAAACCTTCCTCACTGCCTCGCCAGCGACCTCCAAGTGCCGAAAACGTTGAAGGAGGCCATGCGATCTCAACATTCAGAGTCGTGGGATGATGCAGTCGGTCGAGAGTTATTCGGTTTGTTGGATGCAGGAACTTTTAGTCCGGTGTAGCAACCAGTAGAGGACGCGATCAATGCCAAGTGGGTCTTTAACTGCAAAGGCAGACGAGTACGGATGGCCGACGAAATTAAAGGCAAGACTTGTACCGGGGGGGGACATGCAGTGGCTTCGATTGATTTTGAAGAATTATTTGCACCCACCGTGTCCAGTGTGCGCTTGTTGGCAGCATTAGCATGCGAGCAGAATCTTGACTTGTGCCATTTCGATATTCAGCAGGCTTTTGTGCAGTCTGAGCTTGATGAGGATGTTTTCATGCGCTTACCGCAGAGGTGTGGCAGGTTATCTGGCCTGATCGTGCAGCTGTGGAAGCGTCTGTATGGTTTGAAGCAGGCATCACGACATTGCCATGCGCACCTGACGAGGTGTTTATTACTGTTCGGTTTTTTGCAGTGTCTGGAGGGTGCATGTGTTTTTCGATTGATGGAGGAGGTACATGTGATCATGATCATCGTGGTCCACGTGGATGACATTTTTGCTGCAGGGCAGAAGGAGAGGTGTGACAAGTGTGGCAGGGATCTCAACGAGATGGTCCCCGTGAAGAACCTTGGAGAGTTGAGGTGGTACTCCGCGTGCTTTTACGAGAGAGACGTAGAGAGAGGGCTGTTGAAGATTTCACAGCAGAGGTTTGCCGAAGAGCTGGCTGCAGAGTATGGCGTTGAGTGGGGGCAGAGCGTACCTCTACCTGTTGGCGTTAAGCTCTCCGACCTTGACGTGAATGAAGCAAGTGGTGATGTCCCTTTTCGCGAGTTGGTAGGATCTCTGATGTGGTTGGCCACTCAAACACGGCCGGACATTGCAATGCAGTTCGAGCAGTAGCGCGTTATTGCGCGTCTCCCAAGATGGTGCACTGGAAGGCAGCACTCGGTATTGTAGGATACGTACGCAGGACGAGTTGGATGGGGATTACATTTGAGAGGGGCGTCGTGACAGGTATGAGCATGCAGGTGTTTGTGGATGCCGACTATGCAAGCAAAGCGACAGACCGTAGATCGGTGTCAGGAGGGCTAGTAATGGTGGGGAAGGGTGTGTGACTTGGTTTTCGAGGACGCAGAAGTGCGTTAAGCTTTCCACCACGGAAGTAGAGTATGTGGCAATTGCTGACGTCTTGAAGCAAGTGTTGTCCTTGAGGCAGGTGTGGCGTTTTATGTTGCCAGATGCGAGTATGCCGTGCATCCCGGTGTTCGAGGATAATCAGGGAGCAATTCAGATTACGCACAACCCGATCACGAACTCCAACTCGAACCACATCGGTGTACTGCATCACTTTATCAGGGAGCTGGTAGACAGGAAAGAGATTTCAATTACTCATGTGCCGACGAAGGCTATTAGCAAGGAGTCTTTTGCGTTGCACCGTGAATTTGTGATGAACTTGCAGTGAAGGAAGTGTTCTTGGGGTCGTTTCGTATTCTGTAGCGGAGAGAGAAAGAAGGCGACGAGAGTGGACAAGAGAAAGAGAGTCTGATGAAGGTGGTAAGGGTGTTGGAGGTGTGTTAAAGATTTCTTGTTTGTTTTGGAGGAGTTTTTGTTGTGTTGGGATTTTGTTTGTTTGCTTTCGAGGAGTTTTGGTTGTGTTGGAATTTGTCTTGTGATTGACATGGGAGGGTTCTTGCATGTTTGGGGAAAGATATTGGATTTGGATGCATTGAGAATTTTCTTGTTTGTTTTGAAGAGAAGGTAAAAGCGGAACTTGGTTTTTGCCGAAGCATGACGATGCATACGACCAGGGGGGCTATTAGATGTATTGGGGGTACTCGTAGCATAGTATGACGGGTAAGATCTTCAGTACGTACGCACGGAAATTGCAGTGATGAGATGCGGAGGAATCAGAGAGATCCATTTGGTAGTTTGAGCGTGATGAGCGTAAAGCGTGCTTGATGCCGTGACAGATTTACGAGCACGAGCACGCCCCCGAAGAGTACAATACGTTTTCCGTTACGTTCCTCCCATNTGCGGAGGAATCAGAGAGATCCATTTGGTAGTTTGAGCGTGATGAGCGTAAAGCGTGCTTGATGCCGTGACAGATTTACGAGCACGAGCACGCCCCCGAAGAGTACAATACGTTTTCCGTTACGTTCCTCCCATACCACGGCCCGTCATGGCCCAGCTGCTCTACACTCCCAACACACAGAACTGAGCCACCCGAATTATCGATCATGGTTCACTGCTTCCATGAAAGTGGTTACCTCTTCCATGAAACTGTTAACTCCATGGACTTCCATTGAGTATTTTCGTCTGCTTCGGGTTGCAGCTTCCATGATGCTTCGATGGAAGCGGTAAGCAACTTCCACGAAAGTTGCATTTCGAATTTTCACGGAAGCGCGACGAGCTTCCACGAAAGTACAACAATCATGGAAGCTCGTCGCTTGACAGAGTCTCTCCTACTTCCATCGAAGCACGAAAATTCTCATAAAAGCAACTTCCATGCAAGTGGGTGACAGAGGTCGAAACCGACTTCCAAGCACCCAAAATTCCATGAAAGCAACTTCCATCGAAGGAAGCGTCTGGACGTGTGGTCA